ATGACGACAAGGCCGACGACTGCTGCTGCTGCTGCTGTTGGTAGGGATCCAGTTGATGGCGATGCGGGTACAGCGAGCTGCCCACAGCATTGGAGCGCCGGCTACTGATGCCATAGTTATCGTGCAGATAGCTCGATCCGCTGCTGGGCTTATAGCGCTCGAATTCGCTCAGCACAGCAGCTGTGCGGGAGCTGGCGCCCTGATAGCGCAGCTGCTGCTGCTGCTGTTGCTGTTGTTGCTGGCGACGCGTGTCCGCCGCTGCCAGGCGCGCGCCAATGCCACCAAAGGCTAGCGCACCGGAGCTGGACGAGTGCAAGATATTGCTCGGCTTATATTTGGACAGGTCGTTGTTGTTCCGATCTGAGTGGAGCAGAAAATGACTTTTGTTCTTGGCGCTGCTGCCGCTGTCGCTGTTGCTACTGCTGCCGCTGGCTGTCGCTGTCGCTGCCGTGTCGTGCAGAGAGAGGTTAGAGAGAGCTGAGGGGATGGTGGATGAGGTCGTGTTGTTGTTGTTACTGGTTGTTGTGGCTGTTGTTGTTGTTGTTATGGGAATCGAAGTGCCATTGATGGAGTTGGTGGGAGTGTTGGCCTTGTCTGTTGTGCTTTTCGTTTTCTGTGAGGTGTCAGCTGTGTTGGTTAGTTGGACACCAGTTGTTCTGTCGGGCTCGCTAGCGTCCTCATCAGAGCTAGCCTCTGATGTGGATGAGCTGCTTGCATCGCTATCATCGTTAGTTACTTTTTTGCTGCGCGACTTCTTCTTGGGCGCCTCCTCAGCATGCGATGCTGCTGCTGTTGACGCTCCCGCTGCAGCTGCTGCGATTGCAGCGGCCTCCTTGGCTGCCAGCTGTTCCATTGCCTCGGCTTCTGCCGCCGCTGCGGCTGCTGCTTCAGTCTTCTTGGCCTCTGCGGCGGCTTCTTCCATGCGCTTGACACGCTCTTTAAGCTCGCGCCGCCTGCGCATGCGTTCCTCAAACTTCTTAGCCTCCAGGAACTGATTGTCTTCGCGCAGCAGCATTAGAATGGCCGCATTGTCTTCCGAGGAACGATCGTCGGCGAGAATCTCGTGATCCTCGGCGGTTAGCTCTGGTGGTGGCGGCGGCGGTGCCGGCGTCGGTTGCTCCCTTCGACGATTGGCAAAGCGACTGCGCCAGTTGAGAACATGATCCTCCGGTTGGCCACCGTCTGGCGTGTCTGTCGCCTCATTCTTGGTTCGTTCATAAGCTCGTGACAATCGGCCAGAGGTTAGCGCAGTATCCTCCACACCGGCTCGTCGACCATATCGGCCTGTTGCGTAGCCAGTGGCGCCACCAGCGCGCAGTGCGTCGTGGTAGTCATGCGGCTGATATCGATTGTGGCCGTAGTCCACCGGATAGTTCTCGTCCAGCAAACGGTTGCCGCTGGTCAGGTAGCCACTGTCCGTGGAGTCGGCCATATATCGTTGCCGCTGGGCGCGCGTTCTGTAGGGCGTGCGCTCTTTGCGATCGGCAGCATTGAAGGAGCTCGACGAGAGCTTTGCTTTGGCCAGTTGATGTGAGGTGGCGCTGCGCAACAGGCCACCATAGTCGTCCGGTTCCAGCGTCTTGTCGCGATCCTCCTCGTGACGGCGTCGTCCAGCCGCACGCTCCAAAATGTCCGAATATTTGTTCTCCAGCCGCGAAACGGCCGACACTGTGGGCGTCTTGTCTTTGTCCAAGAGCAGCTCGCGACGCTGTGCGTCCCAAGAAGAGAAACCAGTCAATTGGGAGGGGATTTAATGGATAAGGAAAGTGCTTTTAGCAGCGCTCGTGTGAAACCAATGGAAACGACAACGACGAAAACGAAGACGATCGTCAAACATTTCACGCTCTGTCTGAGCCAGACGCAGATATGGTTCCGGTTGGGGGTAGACCTAGACCTAGAGAGAAGAGGAAGAAGACGACGCACTCGCAATTCGCAGACCCATTTAAATGGCCTTTTCGGCACTGGCTAATAACAGTGTTTGGGCAACTTAATTCCACATAATTTCACTCGCATTCGAAGCGTCTATCCAGCAGCTTTCTCTAACAGAAAATAACACTTCATGTAGACGAACTGCGCTGGGCGGCTGTTCCGAGGAGGGGTGTCTATATTATTTAGAACGTCTAGTGAAAATCTAAACAAAATAACCACGGCTGCCGACCTTCAGAGTTTATATATATAGATGTATACATATATTTATATCTATATATATATATATATATATGTATATTTATATATACGAAATGCCAAAATCGTGAAATTGTGAATAGCTTTTTATACATTTAATGCGGACCAGAGAGCTGAGAACTGAGAGAGAGAGAGCGACAGATTTGGGAGCAGGGTGAGGTGCTCGAGGCATGGACATTTGCTTGGAATCGAAAATAAACGCACACGGCAAGTAGGAAGATATAGAAGAATATATAGAAGGCGCTATAAAACAGTTTGTGTGGGCACAATACAAAATCCATACATACTTATATGTACGTATATCTGCGCACGATCATCATATATATATACTATATACATACACCTGCTACATATATAGGTATACTATGGGACAATAAGGGTTGCCGATGCATTCATTGAAGATGCGATCTATAGCTACCTGCAACCCGCTTTCTTCAACCTGTGACAGAATTGGGACAGTGACTTGACTTTGCCGTGACTCATGGTGACAGGTGGAAATAGGGCAAACAAAATTTCAAGTGATTTCCAAATGTGAAGAAATGCTCTGACAATGAGTCACGGGATGAATTTGGCTGCCTGGCTCCGATCAAATAACACGCAGCGCTTTCCATTGGCATTCACACTGCACGCTTTGCGCTGATACTAACATCGTCTAGGTCACGCCGCATCCCGGCCGCGCCTAGGCCGCGTATAGTCGGCTTATAGTAGCCACTGCCCCCCACCGGGCTCAGACGGGTGCGCAGCGGATTGGCCGTCGTTGAGCTCTTCTGATAGCGACCCATGAGGGGACCGCTGGTGCTGCCCACACCGCTGCCGCTGGTGGTGCTAATGGGATGGTAGCCGAGGCCACCGCCAGCATAGTAACGTCTGTGGCGATCGCTCATGGCGTTCTGTTCCCGATCTCGTTCCCTATCCCTATCGCGATCCTTGCCCCGTTCACGTTCCGCCTCCGGGCGTCTTCGACCGCTGGCGGACTTTTCCGAGCTGCGGCGACGTCTGTGTTGTGTTGTGAGGCTGGCTTTGTCTTTGTTTTTGTTATTCCTATTGCTGTTATTGTTGTAGTTGCCGTTTTCATTCGTTGGGGTCCTGGAGCCACTGCGTCTGTTTTCGTTGCTTTCCCTATTGTTGCTATTGTTGTTGCTGCTGCTGCTGTTATCCTCGGCTATGGCCGTTGCACTATAAAAGCCCAAAACAAAACAAGAATTGCTTATGACGCACTTAAAGCTTTCCCTTCTATTTAGTGTCGATTTTTAGTGTATATTTTGGTATTTGGTATTTTCCACGCGCCTGAATCGCGACGAACGCGCGTTGCCACGACACGGACCAAATAATAACTGAGGAAAATTCGATCGAAATTCGTGCGACGACGCACAGTGGATGTATGTGGAAAATATAGGAAAACACACCGCGCGGCTACCAAAAATATTGAGGAATCGCTTTTATTTTTGTGAAAAAGTGTGAAAATATTGCGCACTTGCCCAGCAGCAGCAGCAACAGCAGCCGGAGCAGCTGTGCGGGCGGGTTAGACAAAGAGAATGCCACCGAAAGTGAGAGAGAGCGAGAGAGTCGGAAAAGAAAAATGTGTGAGTGGGTGGATAAATGAATTATTCCGATGTCTGCTTCTTCAGAAAATGCATTTAATTACTGCTGAGCTGATCGCAGAGCTTTCCATTTCCGTCAGTTAGCGAAACAAGGAAACGATCGAAAGTCTTGCGGTCAAAATGCTTGGAGGAAAAGCCTTGAACTTTGCTGATGAGCAAAAACACAAAATGAACAAAGCCGAGCAGAAGATGAAACAATTACGTTTTATGCATGCATATTCCAAATGCGCGCATTAAAAATAAATAATTAAACAGTTAATGCATCCCAAGCAAAGCGCGTGAGAGCGAGAACGAGAGAAGAGAACAGTGGCGTTGATCTCCCAGGCTAAGAGAAGAATAACAGCAGGAAGCACAGCGTAGAGTTGCCAGACAGGCAAACACTCAGCTAGCAAGAGAGACAGACTAGACAGGCAGCTGGCGAACTTGAAAGCTTTTTGTGTAAAGCTTTGTACACTGTTAAATCGAAACTTTTCAATTAAAACTTTTAATTAGCCTGCTATTAAATAAAAATATGTAAAGATAAGTACATATTGTGCACATATACTTGAGGTATGTATATGTACCGATACATAGGATAGATGTCATTGGGCTAGATAAATGGCCTAGAAACCATAGAAACTGTAATTCGTTTGCAACTTGAAATAAAATATCTAATGGATATGCCAATTGTTAGATGAATGATGAATTATGTAAATGCTTGCAGATCAATTATTGGTCTCAACAAGAACTTTACAATGATCTCTCAATTGCTCGATTTTTTTGTTGTATTGAATGTTGGTTATTGTTGGTATAGGCTTTCCAGTCTGAACGGTAAAAAGCAGAAATGATAAATTAAATCAAGCTCGATCATTTTCCACAATAAATTTTCACACTTTTGCACACACAAAAAGGCGATGTTGAACGCGATTTACAACGCACTCGGCACGATGTTTACATAATTGGCTCCCTGCTAAAGAGTAGAACGCGTTCAGAAACGAAGCAGCGCGCTGATGCGCTGCAACTAACGGCAAACGGCAATGAGGCAAATTACATACTTAAATTAACGACGAAAAAAATTACCAAAAACAAAATCAAAGGAAAATAAAATAAATGATGAGAGCTGCGACGCGTCTGGCAACATTTTGACCGAGTTTTTGTTGTTTGACGAAAGTCGGCAAAAGTAGAAACAAAAAGAAAAAAAAAAACACCGCAAAATTAAAAATAATTTATACGTGTGTATGTGTGTGTACGAATGTATGTAATTTATTTGCTTCATTTCTTCTGCATCGATTACCGATTGCGCTGCTGCTGCTGTTGTTGTTGTTGCTGCTGCTGCTGTTTGTTATCAGGTCGTTCGCTCGGATTGCGTCGAAAGCGCTGCAGCAAACTGTTGCAGCTTTCGGAGAGTAGTTGCGTTACGCTCGCCGCCGTCGCGCTGCGCATGTAGCGTCGCTGTGGACGCGGCTGTGCTGTTGCTGCCGCTGTCGGCGCCGACGTCGCTGCCTCCATGTCAGCTGTTTTCTTGTTGCTGCTGTTTGCGGTGTTCACAGCATTTGGCAAAATCTTTTCGCTTTTTTCGCGTTGAAAACGACTTAAAAATGTGGCCATTTTTTTTCCTTGCGCGTGGGTTTTGTTATCTGTTACTCTTACTTTTTTGCTCGGATGAAAATTCGATAATATTAATTAGATATCCATTTGTGGGAAGAGCACAACATGTGTGCGTGCGAAGAGCTAGCCAGATTGGAGTGCTGTGATTCGTTGTTGTTTTTATCTCGCTGGCGAGTTAAGTTCTTCCTCTGACTTGAACTATTTCATGAATTGTACTAAAATAATCAATTTAGCTGCGCTATAGCGAGATGTTTGTTTTTGGCATTTACTCGATGTATTGTACTGTATATGTTAAGTATAGTATAATAGAATATACGTATTTACATATAAAGAGCGTATTCATGTGTTGTAAAAATATTTGAAATTGTACGATATTTGGCAGCTATTCGACAGAAATAGACACACAACAGAAGCAGCGACAATTTCGATGGCAATTGCGATTCCAAATTCGATTTCCACTTAAAATTTCAATTTTTTTTTGGTGAATTATTTCAATTTGTTTATCGCAAATTTCGTCCTGATTTACACGCACTTTGAGACATTTGCCAGCTGGCGTTCGGCGGTCGAATTTCGCGCGATTCTTTGACGTTATTATTAAATATTTTAATTATTATTTTCTACTGGCTTTGTTCAAGCAGCGCGTCTTTGCGTTTTCAAGAAAAAACCAATCCGAAATCAGCGCAACGTTTACGAAAGCGCACGCCACAAATACTAATTATAAAAATTGAAAAATATCGCAACGACGACAGCGCCAAAGTAGCTGGCGAGTGTGTGCTCAGGGCGGAACATAGCATAGAACACGCTCCGTTTCGATCTCTGAACCGGGCGGGCGCGCTTGTGGCCATTGCGGGAGAGCTGCTGCACAGCCGCCAGTTTCTATTATTGTTTTCTAGGTAGCAAAAAAACTAACCACAAGCAGACGCCAAAGCAAACGTCAATTGGCTTAGAGCCGCATGGGAATACTCTATGCCGAAATCGAGGTAATATATAGAACGAGGTCTAATACAAAATGTACAAAATCGGGAGATCATTTTTTGAAGATGAAGGATTATCTTTCAAAAAAAATATTAGGATAATGTAAGGTGTAATATAGGAAATGTTGATATCAAGTAATTCGTGAACATATATAAAGGACTTTTTTTTAATTAAACATCTGCATTTCCTATGAACCATTATAGAATAACTATAGAAAATACTAAACACAAGTTGATTAACTTTTCGTATTGTAAATTGAGTAAGGGTAACCAGGATTCGTTGGCCATCCAAAGTGGACGCTACAGTTCAGAGAGAAAGAGAACTCATGGGAAATGTTCGCATAAGTATGTTTTATGTGTGAGTTGTTGTTACATATGCTTTATATGCTGGCATTTGCCGATTGTTTGGCATTTCGTGAGTTCTGTTTTGCGCCGAGTTATATTTAAATTATATATAGAAGAAGTTTGGCAATATTTAAACAGACATTAGTATCAGGCGGTAAAATATATATTTATGCTTTTGTTTTTGGAAAATTAAAATGAAATCAATTTGAAGTGTTTTGAATGTTTTTTTTTTCTTTCACTAAATAAACAAAATAAATTAAGTGTGTAGCTATTTTTAGCGAACCACAAAATTGACATTGAATTTCAGTTTGGCTTTTTTTTTGTTGGTCGATTGTGCAACGTTGTTGCTCGTCCGAGGCAAGTGCAAGAGTCTGACGCGAGAGGCCACAAGAGAGTGCCGACAAGGCGATCAAATGTGGGAGGCGCGGGCAGGGGAGCGTAGCCAGGTTAGGGGCAAGTTTCGCACAGGAAGTGCGCGTCACAACAATCGACAAATTCTGTACTTGGGGCCCCCCGAAGAGCCCAAAGAGCGCGAAGAGGCCAAAAGAATCGAGCGAAGCGGCGGCCTTTTGGAGCGCAATGAGTCAGCGGTCTATTTTGAGAGGCTGAGCTGCCCCGCCGAGCGTTTGTTTGTTATTGTGTTAGTTGGCAGTAAAAGGCGGCAGCATTCCGGACACATGTGCAACATACAACAGAAAAATCAAAAATCAAAACAAAAACAAACGCTTAAACCAAGTTACAGAACAATAACAAAATAGTTGGGCAACGAATCTACCTCGATGAAATGCAGGCCCAGAGCGGACTTGGACATTTCATTTTGCTGCTGCTGCTGCTGTTGTTGTTGTTGTTGTAATTGTTGTTTTGAATGGCTGAATATGACAGAATTGCTTTGTAGTGACTGTTGTTGTTGTTGTTGTTGTTGCTGCTGTTGCTGATGGTGGTGTTGCTGCGGTTGCTGCGCTGCCTGCGGTTGCATGCCCGCTGACGCAGGCGGCATTGGGCCATAAAACAATTGCGTATTTGAATTCGGATCGTATTGAAGCGTCGCACCGCCAGACGTCGAAGCGGAAGCATTGATAAACTGCTTATGCGGATGTGGTTGAGGCTGCCCCTGGTACTTGACCGGCTGCATCACCTGGCTCTGACTGGGCTTCAGATACGCATACGGATCGAAGGTCTGCAGCGGCTTACGCTCGTGCGGCTGCTGCTGCTGTTGCTTGGGCAGATTATAGTAGTTCCGACTCATCATACCCGCTCCAAAATTATGCGGCTGCATCATGCTGGGTCGCTGTGCCGCGCTGAAGGATGCCGAATGGGTCAGCGGCGCGGCGCCGGCGCGTGGATAAACGGGCTTCGTATTGATCAGCGCCTGGTAGCTGCTGCCGTACATCTGTGGGGCCATGCCAGCTGGTGGCTGTTGCTGCTGCTGCTGTTGTTGCTGATGCAGTGGCTGTCCAAATTTGTTCTCCTTGTTGGTGTTCTTGTGCATGAACATGGCCAAACCGGAGCTGGGCTTGGGTGCCTGCTTAGCCAGGTGGGAGGAGGAATACGATTGCTCCAGCTTGTGGCCTTGATATTGCTGTTGCTGTTGTTGGTGTTGGTGTTGCTGGAAGGGATCGCTGCTGCCATTCATCACCGAACACGCGAATGAGTTCCAGTTTAAGAATGGACGCTTTTGCTGCGGATAATTCTGTTGTTGCTGCTGCTGCTGCTGTTGTTGCTGTTGTTGCTGGTGCAGTAGACGCTGATAGCCCATGGGCAACTGAGAGGTCGAGTTGGATTTGCCTATGGGATAGGCCATCCTTTGCTGCTGCTGCTGCTGCATTAGCGGCTTCTGCGGATCGTACAGCTGCACTGGCACGGGAATTTGCGATTCGCTGGCAAATTTGACGGCGCCGCTGCTGCTGTTGCTCTTGATCACGGCAGCATCTTCTTTGTGTTCAGCTGTCAGCGATTGTGACATAGTTGCATTGTTGTTGTTGTTGCTCTTTAGCTTTAGCATGTCATTTAAACATTTTTCTAGCTTGTTGTCGACGTCTTTTTGACGCTTTGTCGCTGCCGATGAGCTTGTTGTTCCTCCTCCTCCTCCTCCTGTTGTTGTAGCTGCTACTGTTGCTGCTGTTGTTGCTGTAGCTATTGTCGCTGTAGTTGTTGCCGGCTGATCCAAGTTGGCGCCGTGCTGCTGTTGCTGTTGGGCGGCTGCTGCAACCGTTGAGGGTATGTGAAAGGATGAGGTAAACTTTGAGAGCTGCGGCAAATGGGTGGTGCAGCAGTTGGTCACGGTGAAGCTGCTGCTGCTGATGGTGCTGTTGCTCTTCTCCGACTTGCGCTCCAGCGAGGCGCTTGTTTCGTTAGAGCCCTCAGCAATGGACGTGGCCAGCGCTGGTGCAGCCCCAACAGCTGTGGGCTCTGTGGGTCGGCGGAAGAGCGCGGCGGCACATCGCGGCGATGGCACACAGGAACTGCTGGAGCTCTTGAGCACGCTGGCATTCGGTTTACTCGTTGGATTTTGCTGTATCTTGACTGCAGGCGGCTCCTTGCGCGGCTGCGTCGTCCCAGTCGTTGTTGTGGGCAGCAATATTGCCGAGTTGGATGTGCTGCGACTGAGCGAGGGCAGATGCTTCATGTAGCAGGGTATGTGCGTGCGACTGGAACTGCGCAGCAGAGGCGACGGCGCCGGCACCGCACTCGCCGCCGGACTGCCGGAAACATGCGTCATGGAGACGCTCTTGTTGAGCTGTTGAGCAGCTGCCAGCGGCTGTGTCGGCAGCTGTTGCTTGACGGGCACGCGGCTGGTGAAAGGCGTCGTCGTGGGCGATTGTTCGTTGCATACGATGAGCTTGTAGAGATCGTCTTTGGTGACGGCCTGTCTGACCTTGAGATCCAAGTGCGACAACGAGGCGTTCTTCTGTAGGCGATGGTTATGTGGCTGCTGTGCCGGGGACGGCTGCTGTTTTTGCAGCTCCTTCTGGGCCGCCTCGGCGACCGTGGGATCAAATATGGCCAGCTTCTTGGCCGTCTTGGCATCCACCTTGAAGGGCTGCCCAGCATCGCCCAGCTGAGCACCACAGATTTTCTCATAGTTCCAAAACGTGCGCTTCGGCGTCTGACGCTTCTGTGAGCTGCAGAGGTTCTCGCTCCAGAAATCGTTCATCAACTGTTTGTTAAGCGACAGAGTCGAGTCGGTAAGCAGGCCATTCTTTGGCGCTCCTTGTGAGCGTAATGCTCCACAACTGGGCGTGCCCATGGGCATGTTCGAGCTGGATATGCTGCGCTGCAGCTTGGGCTGCTCGTTCGCGTTCGCCTGGGCGAAGATTGAAGGATAGGCAAGCCGCGGCGCCCGATTGGAGGTCAAGTTGTTTGCGAAATTAATGGAGGAGGATTTGGAGAGGCCGCTGGCAACGCTCGGCGTTGCCGCCTGCGACGTCTTGGGCGCCACAGATTGATGCGAGTTGGATTTGGTTAGTGGCTGCTGTTGCTGCTGGCGCTTAAGGCGATCGTACAGATCTTCACACTCCTGGAACTCCTGATGCAGCTTGCGATCCAGTTCGCTGTAGTCGGGTAGACTCTTCAGATATTTGTTCATCATCTCGATCTCAGCATCATAGAAATTGGCATCTAGCTTGGCGCTGCTGGTGGCCGCCGCCGACTTCTCCTCCAGCTGCTGCTGTTGTTGCAGCAGCTTGTCCAAATTGATTTCCCCAGCATTTTTGCCGCCTGGACCTGGCTTTTGCTTGGGCGCACGGCAGGGCACCGGCGGTGGCGGCGACGATGATGGCGAGCTGCACGATGACAGCGATATACTTGAGGCGGGACTGCTGGCTATGGTGGCCATAGGGCGCGCAGGTGTTGTGATGGTCCCGGTGGACGCATTGTATGCCATTGGATGGTGTTTGCGCGGCAGGGGCGGCGTTGACTTCGGACTGGCTGGCAGCAGCGGTCGATTCTTGCGCGGCGCCAGCGGCGAGGAGATGGGCGAGCGAACCGCACATTTGGTTTCCGGTAAGCTGGACGACAGCACCGACGCGAACTGCGGCGAAACGACCTGAAAGAACTGCTGGCCGCTCGCGGGCGGCGGCGTTGGGTTTTGCATTATGCACGGCGACGAAGATGACGACACAAATGCGTCCCCATTTGGTTTCATTGCGACGCTGGGGCATGCGGCAGTGGCGGCAACAAGCGCACTCTGTGCCTCCGGCTGGGCTGATTTGACGGCGGCGGCTTTGCCAGCATCTTGACTCATTTAAGTAACTGGAGAAACGCGCGCGAACTGCGTAGAAGGAATTAAGAGCTGTGAACTAGTTCCGAACTAAGAGTGGCAACTAGTTCACAGTTACAAATACTAAGCTCTTAATGGAAACTGTTAAATTCCAGTTCAATATTAAGGCTCTCACGTTGAGCTTTCCGACTGAAAGCCCACTAATATTAATACAACACGATTTACCAGCGTGTGTGTGTTTGTGTGTGTGCATGGCATTTTCTAATTGTTTTGTTAATCGATAACAGTATCGATAGCAGCAGCAAACGAGGCAAATTGAAACACATTTCGATACAGAAAGAGAGAGTGATAGAGAGGGGGAGGGGAGAGAGAGAGACACCCACTGACACTAGACGCAGAACTGGACAACAGATCACCAGACAGACAACCAACCTGCAGATACTGTTCCGGTATCTTACTGTTCTTCGGCACAATTATCTTTTTGATTATTATAATCTTATCGCCCTCGATTTTCGT